CGCCGGGGGCGGAGGGGGGGGGGTGCGGGGCGTGAGGCCTTCCGCGGGACGGGAGGGGCTTTGGGGCCTCCTTCTCCTGGGGGTGCGGTGTCTACTGGCAGTGCTTTTGGTAGATCGTTTAGCAGTGCGGCCACACTGTTGGTGGTGTTGGATGCGGCCGTTTCTGCGTTCCGCCTGCTTGCGTTCTCAGTGTTGCTTGGGTGTTCTTTTTAGGGTGCGTCAGGGTATTGCGATGCACAGTGGCATCATATGCGTGGGTAGGTGAGTGAAAATCATGAAAAATCTTATAGCAAGTGGCAGAAAACTTAGACAAATTACACTTGATAATGTAAAATAAGTAAATAAATTCTGTTTCCTCCTCACACCTTACTATCAGAGTAGCTGTGAACCTCCCCCTTTCTTTACAGCCTAATGTGTCATAAAGTTAATGTTTTTAGACTGGAGGTTTAGGTGGCATCTTGACATTCCCATGTTTGTTTTTCTTGTTATCCTGTTCCTTACAGGGAGTGGAACTGGTATTTGACCCAAGCAGGGGTGAGATGTAGAACTACAGCAAAGAGGGTAGTAGAGAATATGTGAAGAACAAAAAAGAGTAAAGAGGGAGGGGGGCAGATGGAAGTGGGAGAAAGTAAGAAAACAGAGTTGGAGTTAGGAAGATAGGTCCCAAGGCCCAAGATGTAGAAATGTGTTCAATAGATAGAGGTAGACCCTTGAAACTGGTCAAGAATTTTGCTAAAAGGTTTTGCTAAAATTATTTTACAGACTAACTTGAATGCAGAAAGTAGGTTTGGTAAGATACCTGGGTATTTGATTAATGCTTCAAGTATTACCTGATTTGCTGTTTAATTAATTTGCAAATATAAAATATATTCTAAAATCATGAATAATTTTTTTTTTCTTCAGGTTGACAAAAATGCTGAGATGGTGGCAAGATGGAACTACTGTGCCCTGAGTCAAGAGAAGTTACGTCAGCCAATTGTAGCCTGCGAGCTAGGCAGGTATGAATGTTTCCATATAAAACACTATATTAAAAGCTACTGATTTGTAAATAAAAGCATATTATGAGAATCACATATGATTACTGAAAATCTTATGTTACAGGCTGTATAACAAAGCTGCCATCATTGAATTTTTATTGGACAAGTCAGCTGATAAAACTGCTATGGAAGCTGCATCACATATCAAGAGCATTAAGGTAAACAAGTTTTGTCTAATAATACAAAGTGCTATGAAAGTTAAAACATGCTGCAAACCTCCATTTGCTTGTGTTCTCAATGTGTACTAAAAGTGCTAAAAATAGTAAACCACAATGAAAAAAATTTTGGGAAATGTTATCATGGCTCAAAAATCATTAGTAAACCGCTCAAGACTTGCATTTTTTTGTTTTTCAGAATGTGACAGAACTAAACCTTGCAGATAATCCAGCTTGGGGTGGTGATAAAGAGAGTATAAAAGGTGACAAATACGATGAGTTCCAGTCTGCACGCTTTATATGCCCTGTGGTGGGACTGGAAATGAATGGAAGACACAGGTCAGTAAGTTTCTGGATTTTGTTTTTAGAAGCGAGTACTATGCTAAACTGAATATAGAGCAGGTGAAAATGTTTGAATCTATAATGTTGCAAATTGTGTACTTACTCTCCCCACAAGCCTTTGTGGGGAATATTTGTCCTCCTTTCAGAAGGAGGGAGTTCAGGAGACTGCTGAGTGTCCTTTGATTTTATGCTCAAGAGGAAAGGTAAAAAGTTAACCTTTTCCTCAATTAATTTGCATGTATAATAATGAGTAGAGGGCAATGTTTGCAGAGAAAAGAAGTTGTCTGGGGGCTAAACCATGGGAGATTGGTACGGGCAAGCAGAGGGACATTGGATGACACCTCCATTTGCATCCCATCAAGGCAATTCTGCCTCTCCTTGTGGCAGTATCAGAATGGAGATGTATGTCTGTTCTAATCCTGCAATAGTATCTATTTTTTATTGGGCTGAGGAAGGACATTCCTTTGCATCCTGGTCTGGGCAAATTAGCGATTTGTTTTTCTATGCATGTTAATCCTGATGAGTGAGAAGAGGCCAGGTTCACAGCTTGGTAGTTGTGAAGTATTTCTTCCTACAGAGGGTGATTAGCTGGGACATATTCAGGTGGAATTAGAGAGAACGTGGAAAGTAAACTGATTTTTACCAGAGCTACCTTAGTAGTTTTTTAATTAAGTTGAAGGTGATAGAGAACAAACGATTAAAAGTAGCTCTCAGGAAAGGGAGATCACATGAACCGTGTGTAATTGCTTCACGTAGCCTTGCAAGAATCTTCTAAGTGGACAGGCGAGACATGGGAGAAGAGATGCTGGCTAGGGTCGCTTGTTACAGCTCTGCTGGAAAGCTGGAGTCAGAGTGAGTGAAACCAGTAAGCTTGGTGGAAGGCGGAACCATTCAAGCAGTACAACTTTGTAGTAAAGCAGGTTGTGGTGATGATTCTAGAAAAGCCTCTGTAAAGCTATAGCAAATGTACAAAAATATCTCGAGAGCTTCTGTTTTGCCAAGATCCCTGTGAGAGATTGTCATAAACCTATGTTAAAATATACAGAGAATGAAATAACAAAATATGTGTTGTGGTTTAATGTGCCCAGTATTTTTCATTCGATTCTTACATTGTGCAAATTAGTAAGTGCCTGCTTAAAGATGCTGATACCTTGATTGCCTGCAGGAATTAGTAAAGAGAAAGTTGGCTTTGTCCTGCTAGCTCACTGCTGTGTTGTTTCTGTGTTAAATCAGAACTGCACATGCATGTGTCTTAGACACAGAGTTTCTTAAAAATGGTTGTATGTCTTTTCTTTGAAGGTTTTGCTACTTGAGAAACTGTGGCTGTGTGTTCTCTGAACGTGCTCTCAAAGAAATTAAATCAGAAGTTTGTCACAAGGTGAGTTTTTCTTCAGCTTTAGTAGTAGTGGGGTCACATATAACCTCCACAGATAGATATATAGATATGGGTACATACCTATGTGTAATATATATACAATTGCGTTCACATCCACTATCGTAAAGTGTTTTTTTTTTAATCTGAATATGCAAGGTGAAATGGAACTTGTAAAAGTTCTGTTTTATGATGGCCTGAAGTAATTCTATATGGCCTTTTAAGAAAAAGGTGTTGTAAAAATGAGTATTTTTGTTCTCAGAGATGGTTTGATTTTTTAGTAACTACTTTAGATATTTCATTTTTTCAAATTTTTTTTTATCATTTCAGTTTAAAAAATGTGACTGATTTGGGGTTTTGGGTATTTGTGGTTTTTTGTTTGTTTGTTTCCCTGAATGCATGTGGTTTGTGTTTTATCAGCATGTTTAAATACATTTTCTATCACTTTTATTATCAGTGAGATTTGTGGTAATAGTTGCCATATTTAGGTGGAGTTATTTTTCAGCAAACACCCTGATATTTGATAAAACGTACAGTATATTTGTATTGAACAAGACCTGTGAAGCAAAAACTTTCTTGGTAGGTTTTTGCGGGTGATGTGTAATGTTGTTAGTTACATTTAGCCTCGTATTGCTGCACTCAGTGCTAATTTTGTTCTATAGAATACTGGTTTTGACCTAATGGCTCTGCTCTTCTGTTGGCAGATACTAATTTATTTTTAATGAGGATTTTTGTTTGTGTCTAAATTTTTGTTGATAGATGGATGTAACTTGATTATTAAATGCAGGAATGGGATGTTTTGTGCATGGTTTGGCCAATCTGATAATCTTGAAGCTAAATGAATCTCCCACTTCTCTGGCTTTTTTAATGATCAATATTGATCATAGTCTCATATTTGCATGCAACTGTTTTCATACATGTGCATTCTTCACAGTATTCAGAATGATGCTTCTAGAAATAATTCGATGGATATGATATAATCTAGTCTGTCATCTTTCCAGTATTGGATTTTGGTGCACAAAGAAACCAGCTGAGAGAATGTGTTTTAGTCCACATTTCCTTTGATTAAGGTTGAAGAGTGATTTGGTAGATTGTTTTGGATTTATACTGAGAATGTTCCCAATCTGCATGAAGAATCAAGAAGGGGACCGGAACTCTTCTAAACAGGATCATGGGGAATTGGTTGCCATGCTTTCTGGTAGCTAACAGTTTTCTTTATACTCAAAGCATTAATTAGCAGCATTCCCCCAGCACGTTCTATCTTTCTGCAGCAATGGGGCATACAGTAAAATTAACTAGAATAATGAAGAAGGAAGAAAATGAAGTGTTGTGTATTGCACATATGCTTGCATTAGAAATTGGTTTTATAATAAATTAAACCCTCTCGTGGTACATGTTCTTTCAAAACGCAAACAATTTCCGATGTACAGTGTTTGAGTGTTGCGGATTGCCATACATACGTTTCTACTGTTGCCAACTGCTTATTTTAAGAATTACAATATGTTTGTTAAGCCAAAATCCAGACTATGAGATCCATGAGGCCCACAGCATTTTTTATTTTTCACGGCCTTGCCACCTTCTGTCTGCCAATATGTGCCCAGATGCCCGGCCCTGTGCACCTGTGCCATGTCTGTCTGTGCAGAGGCATTGTTACATGACTTTCGCAGGGTGAGGTGACGAGAGTAGTTCAAAAAGAATAATCCTGTACTTGCTTGTTTACGCTGTGTATTCAGTCTCTCTCTTCAGCTGGCAGAATCTGTGTTTTCACTTCATCCCAGGGGCTGAGGTTTATAGCACGGATGTAAACTGGAGAAGTGTCAGTCTAGGAGCTGTGTGGCAGTTCTCTTCCCCACTGCTGTGAAACTCAAGAAAACTCTTTCAAAACAAGCTATTCTTGTGCATTGATTTCACCTATGAGCCTACAGAGCAGTACTGATAGTCTGCAAAACTGTAAACAGCAATGGTTTCCCAAAGGACTTTGTCAAACAGATACTGTAATGATGCAGTAAGCATTCACTAGAGAATACAGCTATCCAGCAACCCAAACAACAGTTCTGCAGTCCTTGTCTTCATACTCATATGCTTTAAACTAGATCATCTGAACTAGATAACGAATGCATATTTACATGCTACCAGATGCATATTACAAAATGTTGTGCTTCGTGAAACTGTAGGAAATTACCTTCTTGTTCTCAGAGCAGAGGGTCACTTCCTTTCTGGGCCTTCTGGCTTGGCTCATGGGAACGCTCACCACTTGGTGGGAAGTCCCACAGACAGTTGCCTCACTGCTCAGTTTTCTTCTCTTTTGGTTGCAGCTCATACAGGAAATAAAGCAATCTGTTTGCACGGTGATATGCAGATGTGAAAAAAGTGTTTAGGAAAAGGTTGAATGTGTATGCAGATTTTGTCTAATTCAAGGAAATAGAAAACACCAAGATGAAGAATTCGACATTCCTTGTTTTATCTCAACAGTACTTGCTGTACTATTGGATTTGAAAGGCTTGATGGAGGCTAGGTACAGGGAGGATGAAGCAGTCTTTCTATCAGAGTTCTCTTTCAAAAAAACATATTTTACCTCAATAGAAACTTTATGTGAAGAGCTGACAATATTAAATAGAAGTATTTATCTGTTTTTACTGGAATTGTTAAAAAGACTGTATGGGTACTAGGGAAAGGGGTGAGAACGTGAGAGGAAGCTGTCATGGATGGAGGACATTTAGTAAGGCAACTGGAATTAATGTGTGAGGACTTTTTCTATGTGACTTACCTCCCTTGGAAGTAAGCTGTTCTTTATTGCTTCACATCTTAAGTAGCAGTATACTGAATAATTCAAGTTAAAAAATAACATTAAAATGTGAAACCTCTAAGGCTAATAAATAATCAAATGCTGCAGCAGTGTTTAGAGAGAAAGAAATTGTCTCTCATTGCCTGAATGGTAAATGCTTTGGACTGTCTTGCTAGAATATAAAAGTCCCTGGCCACAGATTTTTGAAGGAGCAATGAGAAATTTTTAGTGGTTGTTTACATTGGAGAGCGAGCTTGTTAGATGAGGTGCTTGGGACAAATTTTGAAGCTTCTAACTATTTAGACTGAAAAGAAATGAAAAAGAGCCTTGTCTAAAACAGCAACTTAGGAATACAAATAAAACTTTGAGTACCTTTTTACGCAGACTTGTATTTTGAGCTGTATTTTTGAGGTTTTATATGGTAAGAAGAAAAAATTTAAACTGTCCATACTTTGCTTTCAGATAATGGAGTTTGGTGATGAGTATTCTGTAGCAGAAGCCCTGAAGATAGGGAATTTTCTGCTGTCTCCTGCTTCCTGTTCTTCAGGAAGAATTATGTGTGATGTGGAAATTCTTAGTTTAAAACTTGCACTTTTGAATAGGATGTTCTCGCTGATTGTTGTGTTTAATTCTCCAACAGACTACTAAAATTAAAAGACCAAGTGAGACTGTTTCTACTCTTTCTGTATTTGCTGGCGTCTTGAAGATTGTAAGTGTAGTGCTAATCTGTGTTGGTCTGTAGATTTTGGTGGGGGCCAAAGTTATTAAATGTTTTGGAACTTCTAACTGGCTTCCTGATTCTTGCATGGGCAATCTTTGGTCCCTGCTTGTTTGGAAGTCTGCTATTTGACAAAAATTATGCTTTTAGAAATGATGGAATAAAAGGGTTACCTAGCAGTGTATAGCATCTATTCAACCCCACTTCTGGGGTGTTGAAAAAGGCACCATTAGCAATTTTTGATGTTGACTCTCTTATATAAGAAGTTACTATTGGTGTAATAGTACCCTAGAGGTAGTTTGGGGACAGGATAGTGGTTGTTGAATCTGTGGTGGAAGTCCTTCTGGGAGTTGAAGTAGTCACTCTGGAAGTCAAGGACAAGATTACATTTTAAAACGTAATTCCTTTTATCAGTTTAAAACTTGTTTTGCAATTGTTTTCAGAGTCAACAGAGACTAATACACACTTGAAACAGTACCCGAACTATTAAAGTCTGTGCCATATGAAGCACTTAATCAGATGTTTAACTTAGATACAGAGCTATTGAACATGTGCCTCGGGCTTTTTGAAACAGAAATTACGCATACATCTTTCAGGTAGAGTGAATGTGTGTGCACTATGTTGTAGAGCATAGCGTTTCCTTGAACAAGGTCACACGGACGCTATATGCGCTTAGATCAGCAGTCACCAAAAGTTAGTAAACATTGGTTGCTGAGATCTAAGAGTTCTGATCGATCTACTCATAACATGATAACGCATATAGAACTTAGTGAATGCTTTCTATGTATGTTTAAATGCTCTCAGCTTTCAGTTTTATTACTTAATTTTTTACTGTTAGAAGTAAAAAAAACCTTCAAGAATATAATGTGGTTATGGTCACTCAGAATACTGAGTAGAATACTGTTTCTTAATGATTGAGAATGCAGTGGTTCGATTATGATTTTCCTGGGGGCTTTATATGTGTGAAACTTTGTTTAAAATACAAAATCCCGTAAGGAAGGAGGATCACACTCGATTGCTTTTCCTGGATTGACATGGTTAAAGTCATACCTAAGTTAAGAAGCGAGATGCAACAATTGTTCTGTGTAATGGTGATGAAAGGTGAAAGCTAGATACTGGATACTGCAATGACGGTAACAAGGAACGTTCCATTCACGTTTTAAAAGACAACATGGAGTGGGTAAATGCTGGCAGTTCCCTGCAGTGGGTTGGGTGTGGTTTGGAGAGAAATCACCTATGAATGTTGCTATGATTAATACATGCCAGAGACCCATTAGCTTCAGTAATGGATTTCAGAGGGACTTTCAACAAGCTCAGTGTGAACAAGCTGCAGGGCTTTTTTTTTTCCTCTTTATTTCCCTCCAGAAAAAAGCATCTCCAGCAATATTTAGCTGCAAGTCCTGGGTTATACAAGAAACTGAGTACAGGCCTTTGGGTTGCGTTTGTAGGTTTCTGTAAATAAATAGGGACCAGATGGTCTTTCTTTAGGTTAAAGTTCATTTG